ACAAAAATTGTCACCCTCTTTGGTCGGTCTCCGGCAGGCACCCGTCAGATTCTTTGACGATGTCTTGTACTGACCTATACGTAGTGCAGAATTCACGCTTTTGTTGTGACCATTTGATCTGTGACGTCACACATTTTACCCGAGTTTCCGAAGCACACACCTTTATTCTGTTCATCTGGTCTGTGACGTAACAAATGTGTCCCGGTGGACTGCCGGCAACCGGATCCGGAGGGGTACCTGTCGGTGTTCTCACGGCTCGGTCACGGCGTCTTTTTGTCAGCGGGACCCGGGTAGAATTTAAGTCAGAATTAAATTCTCCTCGGGTCACTGCCGGGCCCAAAAATAGCCCGGTAGCCGCAGGGTGTCCTGCGGGGCCACGTAGGGGTCACGCCCGAAATGCCATAAAACAGCCCGGGAACTACCCGTCAGGGCCCCTTTTTTCAATTGGGACCGAAGCATTACTTCTGCTGGTAGTCTATTGAAGTACCTTGCACCCGTGTGCTCGCTGACCAGTTGATGTATTGTATTTTGGTAATTGTAGTTTAGTAGTCTGTCTGGTGTGATAGGTATGAAGATTATATTTGTGCAAGAAAGTAGAAGATAGGTATGTAGGCATCAAGCCATTCAGACATTTAAATACCGTTACATATACATGTTCAAATCTTCTTTCAGTCAGGTGTTTCCAGTTTAGCATCTGGTGGAGGCTGTCAGTGCTGCTCTCGCGTAGTCTTCTTTGCAGCACTACTCTGGCAGCTCTGTTCTGTAGAATTTGTAGCTGTCTCTGTTTGAGGGCTCCACACCCCTCCCACACCGTGTCGCAATAATCGAAGATGGGCAATTTCATGGTTTTGTACAACATATCAGCAATGTTAAGGGTTAGGCAAGGTCTAAGGCGTTTCATTAGCCCAATTCTATGTGCTACCTTGCCACAAACCTTGTCTACATGTTCATTAAACGATAGATTACAATGATAGATTACAATTAAGATAAACACCAAGATATTTTAATGTTTGTATGGCATCTCCTGGTCAATGCAAAGTTTCAGAGAAGGTGCAAGTTTTAATCTATTTGCACTTCACAACGTGATCTCGCGAGAGTTACGGTTTGCAAACACGTGACCTTATTCACACGAGACTTTACTGATACGTGACGTATGCAATTGATCAAAAGTGCCAGTTTATATCGTCCACCATCTCTATTCAGCTCGCTGTCATCTGAAGTTTCTCAAC